ATGATGGGGCCAACTTTGTGGCGAAGTGGGTAAAGCGGCTGCTTGCAACACCAGCATCTTATATGGGCACTGGTTGGAGGCCCAGTTGCTTCACTTCTGATCCAGCTCCCTGCTAATGTGCCTGGAAAAGCAACGGAAAAAAGGCCCAAGCACTTGGACCCCTGCCACCTATGTGGGAGACCTAGAAGAAGCTCCTGGCTCCTAGCTCCAGCGTGGCCCAGCCCCAGCCAATACAGCATCCTGGGAAGTGAACCAAATGATGGAAGATATCTCTCTCTCTCTCTCCCCCCCCCCGTAACTCTGGCTCTAATAAATAAATAAATCTTTAAAAAAGTAAGAATTTGATAGGTAAAGATTAGGACAGAATCAAAGAAAAAGAAGAAAAATGATTTGAGGCCAGCATATGGAAAAATATTGTCTGGAGCAAGCACTTTGTGCAAAAATGGTAAAACTAGCATTTGGGGGGGATTTTTTTAAAGATTTATTTATTTATTTGAAAGGCAGAGTTACAGAGAGGTACAGAGAGAGAGAAAGAGAGAGAGAGATCTTCTATCTATCCACTGGTTCACTCCCCAAATAGCTGCAATGGCCAGAGCTGGTCCAATCCAAAGCCAGGAGCCAGGAGCTTCTTCTTGGTCTCCCACATGAATGTAGGGTTCCAAGTACCTGAACTATCTCCCGCTGGTTTCCCAGGCCATAGCAGAAAGCTGGATTGTAAGTGGAGCAGCTAGGACTTGAACCGGTGCCTATATGGGGTATCAGCACCACAGACAGTGGCTTTACCCACTATACCACAGTGCCAGGCCCAGCATTTGGTTTTATAAATGTATTTATTTATTTGTTTATTTGGCAAGGAGAGAGATCTCCCATCTGTTGGTTCGCTCCTCCAAATGCCCTCAATAGGCAGGACTACACCAGAGCAAATCCAGGAGCTTGAAACTCAATCTAGGTCTCCAACATGGGTAACAGGAACCCAACTACTGCTTGAGCCATCACATGCTGCCTCCCAGAGTGAGTATTTTAAAGAAGCTGGAATCCGAAGTGGAGTTGGTATTTGAACTCTGGCACTCCAATATGGGATGCTGGTGTCCTAAGTTGGGAGGGTCTTAATGGCTACACTGAACACTGACCCTAGAGCTATAATTTTTTTAGCACTATTTGTAGGTCCAGTGCTGGTTATGTTAATTAACCCAATTTTTATCTCTAAAACAACCATACAAATATCCCCATTTGACAAATGAGAAAATTGAGTCACCTTCAAACAACACCAGGAATTGAATGCAAGTGATCTGACTCCAGCAATCACACTCATAGGCAACATAATTTGATGTTTATGGTAGAAAATCAAGGGAGAAAAGATGCACTGGTGAGGTGGGCCCTGATCCAACAGGACCATAGATGCCATAGTAATCCTTCATGAAAAATGCTCAGATTTTTTTTAGAATGGACATTGTGAGAAAGCAGTATTCTTGGGGAAAAATTTAACCTCAACCTCAACTTTACCCCTCTTAGAAAAATCAACTCAAAATGCATCACATACATAAAACATGAAACAATAAAATTTTTGGAATATAATGTAAGAAAAAATAGGACCTAGAGCTTGCTGAAAGTTATTAGACATGACATTAAAAGCAAATACATGAAACTTGTATAACTTAAATAAAATTTAAACAAAGAAATGACATCAAAATCATGAGCCATGAAAAATATGGATGAAACTGCACTTTGTCAAAATGTAAAATCTTCATTCTGTGGAAGAGCCTGTTGAGAAGATGAAAAGGCAAGCCACATTTTCAAACTGCATATCTTACAAAGGATTTGCAGCTAGAATACATAAGAAACGTTACAAACTCAAAAGTGAAGGGACTGGCATTGTGGTACAGCAGGTTAAGCCATCACTTGCAATGCTGGCATCCCATATCAGAATGCTGGCTTGAGTCCCAGCTGCTCTGTTTCCAATCCAGCTCACTGCTAATACACTGGGAAGACAGTGGAAGATGGCCCAAGTGCTTGGGCCCCTGCCACCCATGTGGAAGACCAGAATGGAGCTCATGGTTCCTGGCTCCTTGTTCCAGCCTGACCCAGTCCTGGCTATTATGACCATCTGGGGAATAAACCAGAGGGTGGAAGATATCTCTCTCTCTCTCTCTCTTTCTCTCCCTCTCTCTCTCTCCTACTCTGCCTTTCAAATAAATAAATATTTTTAGACCTAGACTTACAAAAACTCAACAGTAAAAAATTAAATCACAATAACTCAATTAGCAGATAAGCACAGATCACAAATGCACTCTTTATAAACATCATTAGTTGGGGGCTGGCGGCCTTGTGGTGTAGCAGATCAAGCAGCTGCCTGTGATGCTGGCCATGCATATAGGCACAAGTTTCAGACCCTGCTGTTCTACTTTTTGTCTACCACCCTGCTAATGTACCTGGCAAAGTAGCAGAAGATGGCCCAAGTACTTGCACCCC